TCCAACATAAAGGCCTGTGGGGAGAGAACCAATGGAAAGCTGTTGTATCCTTCTTTGATCCATAAACTATTGCTAAAAGCCCAAGTCCTATCCTTGCCTAAGGATGTGATGTCAATGGAAAAAACCTCCATTGACAAGAAAAACATGGACAGGTTGATGAGAGTTAATGCAAAGGTTCAACCAGATGCACCAACATCCTCCATGGCAACTCTGAAAGCTGAGTTTATGAGGGCAATGGAAGATCATACCAACAGTTTGAAGAAGTTGATAGTGAGGAAGCATCATAAAATGATGAAGAGAGTTGATGAGTTGAAGAAGGAAGTRGACATTYTGAAGAAGGAACGGGTACAGTGGGCAGAGTACAAGACACAGAAGGAGAGGATACTTAGGGCCGCCACCAAGCATGGGCAAGCAAGGAGTACAGTCAAGCTTCCACCGCCACCAAAGTCCATCCTTTTACTGCACTCAGACTCTCCTACTCAGTCTGAGTAGGACAGGTTCTAACTCCACAACTCTTTGTATATATATCTCCATCTTTAGTCATGCATGACCAGTTAGAAGAATTTGGTGTTACATTTGTTGTTTCTAAAGCAATTACTGTTTTGCTGGTTTTAAGTTATATTTCATGTTTTATGATTGTTGTCCTCAAATACTTCATACATGCAGCTTTCTGTTTCATTGTTTTAAGGTTTAAGGTATATTTATTTTGCTATTCGGAATTTGGTGCCCCTGTTTCCTCTGTTTTGGCATGAGTACCTGTTGTCCTAGTAGTTTTGATCTGCTGTTTTTCCTCTGTTTTAACAAACCATGATTTGCTGTTTTAGACTACTTCATAGAGTAGCTTTCTCTCTCATTGTTTCCAAGGCCAATGCATTTTGTTTCTGCTGTTTGAAATTCATGAGGCTTCMCTCTGTTTTGACAGCAGTATCAGTTGTTGATACCATTTGCAATTGTTGTTTGTTACTAGTTAATTATTCTTTGCTGTTTTAAGAATGCATTCTTAGGTTATGCATTTTCTTTTGTATTTTCATTTGCTGTTTTATAGAAGTAGCTTTGTCACTTTTGGTTTGCTAAAACAGAACCCAGCTTTGCTTTTCTTTTGTTTGTTGTTTTAACATAATGAAAATCTTTTATTTTTGTTGTTTTAATCCTAGCTTTTAGTTAATTGTTTTGAGTTATTGTTTGCTGTTTTCAACTACCTTATGTAGTAAGATTGATGCATGCATGGGTTAAGTTTGTTATTCTTGTTCTATCTGTTTTGGTAATGGCATATAACCAATGTTATGGTTATGATTCCACTCTTTGCTGTTTTAACATGATTTTTATTCTTTAAACTGTGAATTTTTTTTAGTAGTTAGCTGTAATGTTTATTTGTTGTTTTAGACTTAGCTTCTATTCTATTTGTTGTTTTAAGTATTACCTTGAGTTTTGTTTAAACCCTTTGTTATCTTACACCATCTAAAGCATGGCATGCCTGTCTTAGGATGATTTTAACTTTTCCTTGCCACATTTTAGGCCATTTACTGTTTTAGAGTGTTATGCATTGCTGCCCATGCACTTCCATTTGCTGTTTTAGAATTCTTGAGCATGTTTACTGTTTTAAGATTAAGACAGTCATGCTTATACATTCTATTTGCTATTTTTATCCTCAGTTGAGGACATTTGCTATTTTTAGCTTTAGATTTTGCTGTTTTGAATCTCATGCAACCCTTAGACATGAACTTTTATTTGTTGTTTTCCATTTGCTCTTTTTAAATACAGTCCTTTTATCTTTCTTTGTTGTTTTATGTTTAAGGCAGTCCATTTTATTCTTTTGCTTTGATGTTTGCAGCATGACCTATCTCACTTCATGATTAACAGTTCTTGATCATTTAGGCATATCCTTTGCTGTTTTATGATTGTTTTCAAACAGTATGGCTGCTGTTGCTGTGAGGGCCTTTTATGAATGCTTTGAGGGAAAGCCAAGCTGAATGCATTCCATTTTATCCCCCTGTACAAGCTGTTTCATAAGAGAAACAATGGCAATCCCATTGTTTGGTTTCATTTAGCCCGTTTTATGATAAAACAATGGCAGTCCCATTGTTTGGATTCATATGGCTATGTTGTCTGATAATACAGTCCTCTGGTTGACTGTTTTGATTCAAAGCTCATCCTTGGTACCACATCTTAACTCTAGGGTCAACTTGACTTAGAGTTGGACTGTTGGTTTTGTTTAAATCTTTTATTTGAATCTTTGAGTCCTTTTATTTTCACAAA